TCTCCAGGAGCCGAAATTACGCTCTCCTTCTCACTCTGTAAATTCAGGAGCTGCTCAAGCTCAAGCCGTGGGCTTATCAACCTCTCGCCAAACCCAACCACTCCACAACACAAACTCTACACAAAACATGACCATATATGGCGACAAACACAGCCACACCACACACACCAAATGGCTATTTGTGGGCTCTCGTTGTGTTGTCGTTGTGGGGCCACAACAAAAATGCGATGATTACGTATCAAGCACATGGCCGACGACGGCCGCCCCTCCTTATTCGCACTCTTCACGATACAATTATTTCACCGCTCCCCCCGCCGCACTAGCCCACAGTCAAAAATAAAAAAGGAAAAACTTTTCATTCATTCACTCGACGCCTGTTTTAACGTGCGGCCTTCACTTGCTCCCATTTTTAGTCTAGGGAAGAGAAAGGGTATTGTCAACTGTGGCATTGAGTTGGATGACTGACCGGTAATGGGATTTGTTGGGATTATAATAGATAAGTAGATAATACATTTACTTTTACTTTTTCTAGGCAGAGGATCGTTCCATAATATAAAGATCTATGCGTATTATTTCTTATCTCATCGTAGAATGTTTTCTACTGGCTTTCCCTAATTCTAACCAATCTTGTCACATTCTATAATATTTTATCAATAACAGACAAATATATGGAAGGGTTTTTAAGTACTACAAATACCTAATACAACAAATAATAGTAGTTCGTTTGGATAACTCTTGCACTGAACTTTTGATCCCAATCAACACGATAAGGTGAGCGGTGGTTGGCTGGAATATGGGTTAAGTTTGATTGGCTTATCTTGCGGAATGCTCCATGGTGCTTATATGCCCCTTAATGTTAGGGTATACCTATGACCATTTGAATTTCCTTTTTGTTCTTGCTCTCATTGATTGCTTTAGTTTTTTGTGTGGCCTTGCCGCCGTCGCTTGCCTTTTTTTTTTTTTGCAAATCTAATCCAGAAATGGGAAGCACAACAACCAGAAAGGGAAATGAGTGAATGATTTTGTGTGTGTGTGTGTGTGTGTTCCCATGGAATTTACATGTGTTATGCTATGTAGTTGACCTAATCGTAATTTGAGCAAACAAAGCACTTAAGCAAATGGAAATATACGCCGCCTATTCGCATAAATAACAATTGCGATAAATTAAAATGTTTTACAATTCACAGAGGGGTGGCATTTTTTTAAGTACGAAATTTAAATCAATTTCATTGTCTAGTTCAAGCTATTATAAAAAAACATCTGTTAAATTGTTCACGCTATTGTGGGGATTTACAAATGAAAGCCCAATTTAAGTTGAAATTTAATTGTATTAAAGTCGAATAAATACATAAGTGTACCAGAGTTAGCTCAAGTTAATTTCCGAAAACATCTGTGAAGGTCTAAATTTCTTCTTTCAATTTAATTCTATTATTATAAAAACATCTGTTCATTGTTGGAATTTCAACATCCACAATATCAATGATTGTCGTTTTCAAGTTTTATTTTTGGGACAAAAACATCTGGTAACAGTTGAGTTTTGTAGAACTGCAAAATATTTCCAAAAGTTTCGGCTGTTTTGCCAATTTTTATTGGGTAGAACTAGGTTTCAGATTTACTTAATTTTAGCTTTACTTCTAGTTAAAATTATACATTTAATTTTGTATTATATTCGTATACCTTTGTTGTTCCGAAAAATCTGTTGAATGCTTGATTTTGTGGAATCTCAAATTATGCTAAAATTTCAAGTGCTTTTAACATATTATTTCCTTAAAAGATGTATCTTTTAAGGATTTTAAGGATTTGCAAAAATATTGTACGGTTTTTATGGAATAAAAATTAGCTAAAATATGTGGACTTTTTGATTCTTTTTGTGCATTAAATTCTCACCAACTTTAATAAAAAATGTTGACAGAAAAATTTGCCTCTGTGCTTAAAAATTCATGGGAAAGAAGCTCTTTGGCTGGTCCATCAATCAAGCGGAGATTAATAGCAGGCAATCAGGGCCACCAATTTTGGAGGACAGACTCCCGCCAGTCGATACCCATCAGGGACACTTTATCAATCATTAACCAAGCCAACCCAAATGGGCAACAACCATGTGATATGCAGCAGACGAACTGGGGGGCTAATAATCCGGCAAAAACACAAATTGTACAGTAATTAGAAATTCATTGATAAAAATGGACATGAGAATGGGACAGAAATGAGCCGATTGTTTTGGGTAGATTCTGATATGAGCGAAAGCCGGAGTGAGTGAATCGAAAGGGCTCATGGGGATGGATGCCAGGGCTCTTTCACTCGTACCAATACAGCGACATGGATGGGGGGTGGGGCGAGTGAGAAAAACGAGCGAATGAGCATGCTAATCACGAACACGACGAAACAAGCACAACAAAAACGAAAAAGAACGGTACACGTACATATACCGTATACGCGCGCACATATACACAGAAACTCGATTGGGGATTGGGGAACAACTGGACTGTGGTTCGGCGGTGCTCTCTCTGCTGCTGCTGCTGCTGCTTGTCGTTTTCGCTTTCTGCCCTTTGCTTGGCGCCTGTTCAAATAAGTTTCAAATTTTGACAAATAAAACCATGGTTTTGTAATTTACGAGCGTTATTTTCATAATGATTGAGTGGCATGGCCCATCTGAGTGAAGTTCACACGCGTCGGACCAAAAACAAAAAGGGAGTGAGAGACCAAAGGACTACCATACGATTATTGCGGTACATTTCTCACTCTGTCTCTGACCTTTTTATACCCTTGTAGAAGTGGCACCAGATTTATGCATGCTGCAGAGCGTTGCAAAGGATAATCCAAGCAAACGTTGAAAATGGCAGCGTCTTAGACTGGTCCTTTGTGAGAAAAGATTCTACCAAATAACAAAAATTTATTCGAAGTGTATTTAAATTCTTCACCCGAATCTACTACCCTTCTTTTTCTTGTTTATCTTCTGCTTCTTTTTCTCACTCAGCCGCAATAAAAACGGGATTATGTACAAGTATGTTGTATTTGTTTGTGAGTATACCAGAGAGAGATATGTGCGAGAAAGAGAGAGAAATGTCGGGTAGGGAGTCCTGTTTGCTGGGTGTTGTTGTTGGTAGGGGGGGCTGGTTGCTTCGGGTGCAGACGGCAGGATGTAGAGAGGGAATAAGGCTGCTGGATGGAGGCAGGGAAAAAAGGCTGCTGGATGGAGGGAGGGAAAAAAGGCTGCTGGATGGAGAGTGGCGAAAAGCATGCAGGATAAAGAGAGGCGAAAGAGGATGCAGGCTACAGAATGGAAGGAAGGGAAAAGGGTGCAGCAGCAGCAGCAGCAGCCTGTCGAATGGCAAGGAGTGGCGGTGGCGGCTGCACACTGAACGGGCGGAAGGGGGAACGGCTCCTAAAGAAGCTGCAACAACGACGGGACACTGTCTAGACGTTTGATTACCGGGGCGCAGCAGAGAGTCACAAGCAGCAGACGTTGCCCCGCACAGTGTGCCCCAAGCTGCCATTAAATCTGGGAATGGGGAGTCTCTAATCATAATTGCCCGATTTCTTAAACCATTTTATTGGTTTTTTTTTTTTTCGCCTGGGCTTGGACTTGAGTCCGTCATAAAGTGTTCTCTTATCAGCTTTTACTTTCACATTCAGTACTCAATGACGACATGGTGTGGTGTATGGCAGATAATGGGATAAGTGTCAACACACAGGGCAGACAATTAGGGAGGAAAATACATTGCACATGGGCTGGTTAAGACTAAATGTTGAGACTACAGGGAGTTCCCTGTTCCCTGTTCCCTGATCAGGTTTCGAAACGGAAACCTTTTCCCAATCCGGTTAAGGATGTTTCGGAAATAAGGATAATCTCTTTTGTTGTTTTGAATGAACAATGAACAAGATATAGGAATCATAATATCAATCCGGTTTAAATACGAATGGCCTCTCAAGGGTTATTATAAAATAGCACACATATATGTACTTTAAGAATATTGATAATCGTTTTACATCCCTTTCGTATTCCCAAATAATTAAGATTATCCCAAAAAATAAACTACGATCATTCAGCATTATGTTTCTTAGCAAATAAGAAATATCAAGAAACATCATCGATCAATCATCATTTAAGATTATCGACCCAAATTGGGTTCTCTCATTCCATTAGGTTTTGCAGTTCCTAAGAAATCAAGATGCCTGGGTCCCGGTCCTGGTCCAATCCGGTTTCCACAAATAAAGTTCTGCCTAAAATCGCATTCCATTTCGCCACACACGATCAATTCTCAAGGTAATTCGATAAAGATCCCCTCCCCACCCCCCAGTCCCGTAAACAGGAAAAAAAAAAGGCACGTAATCTCGTTCGGTGGTTGCTGGGAATCTCTGCCGTTTTCTACCTGACTTCATTCGAAATTTTGCGCGCATTATTATATACGACACAGGGCAGACATTTCTTCCAATTTCGTCACAGTGCATTAATCAGCATTGTGTTGGCCCATTGTTTTGCGCTATTTTTTTTCCTCCATACAATCCCATAGGTAATGTCTGTTATTTCCTCATGGAAGTGCAGCCTGAGATGATATGGACTCTGGGCCTTGGGAATTGCTCAATTTTTGTGTGCAACAGCAACCACTGTGCAGCATATTCAGGAGCTGGCTGTCGCCAGTCAAGGACTCGGGATGTCGTCTGTGCACACACACTCAATTTTATGTTTTTTTTACACTCTTTTTTTTCGCTTTGCCAAAGGTCAAAACGGCGCAAATCAAAAACCCTGAATAGGAGCCTTGACTTTTGCACTTTGCCAAATGTTTTTTGCCCGGAGGACATTGAATCAACGAACGCGGCGAGGGAGAATGGAGGAACCTTCAAATGTATGAACCTACGGGTGGAGTGGAGGGGTGGGACCTACGGATAAATTGAAGTTCCAATAGATGGAAAGTACGGATTGAGGGACAATCAGAAGGCCAAAGGGACAGACGGGATGGAGGGACATATGGGTGGAAGGACCTTTGGCTGAAAAAACTCACCACAGAGCCCAAATGCTTCAAGTGTTTATTGCTCCTTTCCACGTCCCTTTCGTGCTGTGGTGGGTAGAATATATTGCGATGAGTGGAAGGGAGAGAGGATACTGGAATTCCAGAGCTCGCTCTCTCTTGTGCTGTTGTTTTGATTTGTTATCCCGTTTTTGTTGTGGCGCTGTTTGTCCTCTCAGCTGCTTTCGATTGCTGTCCTGCTCTAACTTCCTGCGTGTGCTGCTGCTATTTCGCAGCTTCTGCTTCCAGATTCTGTTTTCGCTTTGACCTCCGCACAGCTTCTGCTGTTTTTCTTCTTTTCAGCTTCTCCTTCTGCACAGCTTCTCCTTTTTTCCCAATTGGTCTCTCTGCTTGTGTTGTTGTTGCTTTTGTGTAATCCTTCTTTCGCTTTTGGCGCGCAATATTTTCGTGTCTCCCTCTCACACGCTGTTCTGCTTGTTGTTGCTATTTGCAAATACAATATTTTTTCAACACACGCGAAACCGTTTTGTTTTCGTTGTTGTTGCCGCAGTGATTGTTGTTTGTTGCTATTGCAATAATTTGCATTTCACGTTTCGCAGCATCGACGCCGACTTTGACTTTGTTGCACAAAACACGCACACACAAACACAAAGAGAGAGACACAAAAACAACAATGGGAGGAAGCTGGTTGTTGCTGTTGGTGGGCGGGCGTCTTTTGCTTCCACAAAGATGCTGATTCGGTGGAGTCTGCGATTGTTGATTTTTGTGGCAATCAAATAAACGAGATGTTTTTTATTTTCGTTGACAAAATCACAATTAAAGATATCTCGAAATTGCAGCCACAACGATTTGCCCGCGTGTTTTCAAAATTGTCTGGCTGTCCAAACGTAAACAAACGACTTTTTACGCGCTTAAACGCAGAGATTCACAGTAATATCGGCAGTTTTTGTTTGATAGTAATATAATAACATCAATTTATTTTGATTATTTTTTTGGAATATATCAGCGTAATTTTTTGAGTTTAGAAAGAAATACGACACTATTTTTCGTTATTCGCGGCGATAATGGCGCGCGCATCACCCGTCCGACGTGTTCAAAAAATTTTTTTGTTTTGAACTTGTCCTCAGTGTGACCGCGGAGTCATCAATAAAAAATACCGCCTGGCCATCGGAAATATACCGAAATATACCTTGTCATTATCAAAATATACCGTAAATATACTGACGGACACTTTGATATTCCTCGATTTTGATATTCGGTATAATATTACTAGCTAGTTAGCCCATTCCTCCCTTAATAATAAATTTTATTCAATTCCTCAATAAATTTTGTTCGGGATTGGCTAGTTTTCAGAGCTCCTTTTCATTGCATTGTTTACATAAAAAGGTTCAAAGAAAAACGGCCAAAGCATAAAACGTGAGTGTGAACTCCGGTCACATTCCGTCATTGTTGCTAGTCAACCAAGTATCTGCATGCGTATGGACCTTTGTATACCCTATTTCCTTTAATTAATGTGAAATTTGTTGTTCCAAGCTGCATTGAAACATTAATATTGTGTTTTTCTTAGATTCAGATGTTTTTCACCTATTAATGCAAATGTTTTGTGTTTTATAAATTCATTTATCCCGGTTCTGATACCTATTATTGGAACCCGTGAGCTGCCAAATTTCGTTAATATCTTGAAAACAGAGACTGAGTAGTTTCTGCATTAATTGGAGCCTGAAATTACAAACAATACCTCAAGTCCATAATATCCATTTTCCCAAGGTATGCAGATTGTTGCTCATTCCGTGCCAAAGTTGCACAGCAATGCTGCTAATTCATTTCCCCATGTTGCTGAAATTTTTCCCATACAAATCAAATGTATCATACGGGAACGCGTATGGAATGACGCAACAATGAATCTTTATTCCATACGCGTTCCCGTAAGATACATTTGATTTTGTATGGGAAAAATTTCAGCAACATGCTGCCACACCACGAAAATGAGGGGAAAGTCTCCACAAAAACACTCTATTCTCCACTGAAAAGAGAGCACTCTCCACGAATTGAGAGCAAATTTTGCAAACTCTCCACGAATTGAGAGCGAAAATGTCAGTATTTTTGGTGCGCTAAATTGAGTTTGGCGGTCAATTTGAAATGTGTCTTAATATTTGGATAAATATTTCACTTGATTTGTTTTTTCGAGTGTGACTGGAACCTCAGAAACGTCATTTCATTATATACCTTAAACATACCGGGAAAATCATATTCACAATTTTAATATTCCGTTTAATATTACAAGGTAGTTGGCCATCTCAGCCCTAAACAAATAATTTATCCGATAGATACATACATTTTTTAGAGTTGCAGTTCAAGTCCTTTTTATTGGATTATTTACATATTAGGTTCAAACAAAAACAACATAAAACGAATTTGTCGTCGTTTTGTGGCGTTGCCGACTGTGCAATTCGTAGTTGCTGCGGGCTGCCATACCGTGATATTTTGTGATATGAAACGTCAATTTTGATATTCGGTTTGATTACTAGCTAGTTAGCCCCAGCCCGAACAAATATTTTATCCGATAGATACACAATTCTACAAGATTGGCTAGTTTTTAACCCGCTACCATTAGATATTTGAGAACACACCACAAAAAAGAGGCCAAAAGAGATCAAATTTTTAAAAACTACCACGATTTGAGAGCGAAAAATGTCGGTATTTTCTGTGCGCTAAATGGAGTTTGGCGGTCATTTTGAAAAGTATTTTAATATACCTTAAAAAATTGATCGACTTTTATATTCTTTTATATACCGAGTATCATAATTAAATCTTTAAACGATTCGACGTTAAAATATCCCGTAAAGTATATAATATATTATATTATATTTATTATTAAATTATATATATTGTATATTCTATAAATGATACGTCTAACGCATACTTGTGGCTTGTCAACCGGTAGTATGGATTTTTGTTATATTTCCTTTTATTAATGCTAATATTTTTGCTTCAACCTGTATTTGTATTTTTAAACGGTCAACTAGTATGTTAATGTTAGCACAAAAAGTGCTGTTGTAGCGCAAGTTGCCAGGGGAAATTCAACTAAATATTTTGTCATCTCTAATGTTAGGGAAAGTTAACCAGCTGCTAACGTTCAAATTTTGTAACGCTCAAGAAAAAATCGGCCACAATGAAAAAGAAACGTTTCCTGAATGACATGAAGTACAAGAAGTAAACATCCTGCTCCAGTCCTCACTTGTGGAACGATAAGCCTTTGCAATTGTATCCGTCCAGATGCACCAGGAAATTGAAACTTTAACTCAGCTATCGCACTAGACAGTTTCCAGAGTCAAGTCAGTACATGCAGGCAGATTCGTGTAGAGAATGCAATTTCCCATTAGGCTGAGGGCTTAAGCTGCAGACACACGAGATCATTGAAGGCTTTGCTGACCGTTGACCCAAGACTCGTTGACCAAGCTAACTTCATGTCCTGTGCAACAGATGACAGCAGCAGAACGAAACTTTTAGCAGAAAAAAACGTTTTTTTAACATACCCAAAAAGCTTTTCTGCAATGTTAACAGAGCAGAAAAAGCTGTAAAAAAGCTCTCGCCCAGCTGTCGGTTGTTGTAGTAACTTGGCTTTCAGATTTCCGAGTGTGGTGGTGTCTTGAAGCAGATTGAAAGACAAAAAATTTTCGACTTGTTGTTAGCGGATGCTTGTCGTGTGGCCAAAACAATAACATCCAGTGATTATTACTGAAATAAGTTGTGTGTTGTGTGGAAGAATAACTGCCGGAATTTGGCGTCTCTGGAGGGTCTGTTCGAGTTCCTTAACCTTCGCATTGATTCATTTGTGGCCATTATTTTGGACTTCTCGACTCCCTCCCCCTTCCCTCTGTTGCTCTTTGACTTCGTGTCTCTTCGTTGTGTGTGTGTCCAACAAAAAAAGGGGGCGCCAGAATGGTGCGATGGAGTGCCCGGTCCCGTCGTGCGGCGCGTCAGGACAAAGTTGAGCTTCTGGCCAGCAACAACAGGGCCGGCGATGATGATACATCCGATAACGGTAGGTTTAGCGGTACATTAAGCTGTCGAAACGATTGTCATTTACGATTTGGCCTTACGATTACACGACTCCAGCGGCCTTTCGCAACTCCACGGACCTCTCCGACCACGATGAGATCTTCCTGAAGGGCCTGCTGCTCAGCAATACCAATACACCGCACAAGGAGCTGATGGTAAGTGGACCAGAACACGAATCACATTTATTTCTGACCCAGTTTTGCCCCCCGTTCTCCAGCGAGCATCTGTTCAATAAGAAAATTGCTCATACGTTTCTTCTGTTCCTCCACACTTTTCCGCACACACACACACATTTTTCCATACAATTTCCACACCCATACCAGGCCAACCCCACACATACCATACAGAGGCAATCTTTGTTTACTTTATCGATGGCATTGCATGCTGATTTTCGGTCTAGATTTTATGTGTGTGTGTGTATTGCTTTCTTTATTACATCATTTTTCTTAGAGGGTAATATCCGTGGCAGATTTTCTTCACCCAGCTACAGAGCACTCTGTATAATCCGCCAAAAGGGTGAAGCAAAACTCTGATTTTTCTTCTCTATTTATGCCCCCTCCTATTTGGTCTTTTTATGGCCACACATTAACACCATCTCTTGTTTATCTTTTCGCACTTATTTTCGCACTTGACCCCGTTGAGAGAGGCAGATAAGTTTCAGCGCTACACAGAATGAGGTCTCTATTAGATCATTATTGTGATATAATGGACTAGCTTGACCCCAAAAATGTCTACAAGTTTCGCAGTAAAATCTGCATAAAACCTGGCAACTTAATCAAATAGTAAATATTTTTGGATTGTTTACGCGGCAAACACGCGAATTGCCTGGGAAAACAATAAAAGAAATGTTTTTATAAGGCTGGAGCCGATACGGGAATGCCCTATAAAGGGAGTAGACTTATAAAAGGAAAACTATCTAGGGCGGAAATCAATAAGGATTCAGGCTTATTATGTGTCTAGAAATATGACTGAATATAAGTATAAGGATAAGTATTTATTCGCTTTGAAAGATATGATGTATGGCCAAGAGAGATGGAATGTTCTTCAAAGAAATCTAATCTAACATAGAGACCTATTCCCGTTTTCCTTTGGGAACTTAAACTTTCGTTGATTGATTATGTCTTACTATCATTGTTCCACTTAAGATCGACTAATGATTTCATTAGTTTCTTAGTTTGGTTTAAACATTTCTCTTTTAACCAAACCTAACCTCGAATTCGCCTCAAGCTTAAACTAGCTGTAGGAAAACCAAAACAAACCAAAAATCCATCAAAACCAAAACAACGTAAATAATGAAAAGCGACATCGCGTGACGCGGATAATTAGAATGCCACATTTTTCTAGGTGGAAATAGTTTGTTGCTGTTGCTGTTGCTTTTGCGGTCTGTCGTCTGTGGCTGTTGAGAAAGGCAGTGAAAGTAATTAAAACCACAAGTCACGAGATAAGAAAATATGAAATGTCACTTGCCCAAAACCCGAAACTCCAAAGCCCAAACCCAATTCCAATCCCAATCCCAAATACTCCTCCTATCCTACCATCTCGTTGCTCTCTCAACACTCTTCGAGCACTCCCCTATTTTATGCAGATTACATAAAATACGGCACAAGTCGTCAAGTCAACTCTTTAATATCCAACGCCCCAAAGAAGCTTTGTGTCCGTACGGCTGGTGTGTGTGTGTGTGTGTTGTTTGAAGGGAAAACCGGTTTGAAAACATATTTCCATGTAAATAACACATACCTGTGGTGGCTTTATGTTACCTGCTTCTTCCATACGGGCAGTACAACGATGCACAAAAAGCCCAAACTTGTTGGCCTACTAATGCAGCTTGTTTGCGGAGAGAGACACATCTGTACGTAGAAGGAGAGAGAGCGTGAAAAAGCTTTGCAGCGTGCGAGAAGCAGAGAGAATCGGTGAGATCTTCAGATAATTTTGAGAAGAGCTTTAAAGACTGTGAAAGATCCCACGAATACAGAAA